TAATCATTACGAACTTGGTTGTATTGAATCACCAGGAATTACTAACAATAATACTTTTACTACACAAAATAAGTAATTAAAATCACCAACTTATCAGTATTAAATTTCTATAATGATTATTCGGGACGTGTAGCGAACGTTAAGTATACTTTTTTTAAATTTCGAGTTTCGTTTTTTTTTTCTTGTACAATCGTTACATATAACGTTATTTCAGCTTGAGAACTGAAACGGCACATTTAATGTTCAATACGCGTCTAGAAAAGGAGAATAGAGCTCTTGAGCTCTAAGAGACGCAGCTCCGAGAACGTATCTTTACCATGTTCACTATTGGTCGCTATGCACTAAACGGTTATATAGATCAATCGCATGAAAATAATCGGTCTCAATGCATTAAAAACGATATACGAACAGTAAAACCGATAAAATTCTTTTTACGCAATTCATCTACACGACCAACACTGCTTATCGCATAGCAGTTGGTAATAGTCGCAAGAATTAAAGACATGCACGATCTCTGAATTCTAGCCCTGGAGAAATATTCATCTGAAATCATGAGATAGTACGTTTATTACCTGCATTCAGTGATGAAAATTTACATATGCTAGACGCGTATGCGTGATAATTTTAACATTAAAGTAGTAGTTATAGCATAAGTACAGAATATCGTTACTGAATTCTAATATATAAATATATATTTTTCGGATGATTAAAAAATGTAAATATAATGCAAGATATACATAAATTTAATATAAAGATTAATTTTAAAAGGTGTTTGAAATGATATCCATCGACTTCAATATACTTTTAAATAGAAAAAACAAATGACCTTTTTACGTTTTCCACTACTGTGATGGAATTATATATTTGTAGAATTCATTCTCTTATGTTTACGATATTGCAGGAACCAGGGTTGGGAAGTAGTAACGCGTTACTTGTAACGCGTTGTTACTGGTATCGTTACTTTTTTAAGTAATGATTAGGTAACGCCGTTAATTTTTTGTGTCAGTAACGAAAAAGTAATGGCGATACATTTTTTTTGTAACGAGTAACAAAACGTCCGTTACTTTAATCGTTACTTTTTAATTTTTATAAAATTAAACTTAATTTAATTAATTATTATTTAATAATAATTATTTAATTAATTAGTATTTAATTTCTATGCATTTCTTGTTTTATGCTGGATTTAATAAGACCCAATAAAGATGCACTCACATATTGTCATCCATTGGCCATAGCTATACAGAAAGGTTCAAAAGAAAGGTAAGTTGGTGTAATTTGGTTAATACATATGTTCATCAAACAACATTCATCTGATCAAAAAGAAAAATCAATATGTTCATATTTAATTTTATTGATTTAACTTTAAGTTTTGCACTACATTCGAAAAAGAAGAATTGATAATTGCTAGCTGTTTGTACCCCAAATTCAAATTGAGTTGGTTAGTCGGAGATAACCGAAAACTTGAGCTAACATATTTAGAAGATTTATTAGGAATTCCTTCAATTGAAAATTTTTTAATGTCTGATAAGCGCAATGATAATGATGATTTTTTAAATTTCAAATAGCAAACATTAAATGAGAAATCTGCCTATGGTTAATGGCAAAGATTTTTAAAATCAACGGGCACTAATGTCCAAATATTATATTCATCCAATAATTAATATCCACTAATTAAGAAACTTTTCATTAAGTAAAATACTTAATAACATAAAATAATAAAAATATTTAAATATGTACATATATATATATATATATATATATATATATATATATTTCTAATCGTCTTATGTCCGATTTATATCTTGTCTTAGCACCTTTCTTATAATCCTGGATTTACAACAAAGAGAATAACGGAAAGTAACGAAATAAAATATCGTTATTTTCAAGTAACGGTAACGCGTTATTTTTTAAGATCAGTAACGAGTAACGTTAACGAGTTACTTTTTACCGAAAATAACGGTAACGGTAACGAGTTACTTTTAAAAAGTAACTTCCCCAATCCTGATAGGGACATCGTCGAGTTTTATTTTTTTAAATATCCTCACAGGAAAAAATATTTTAGGTAACCTCACCAATCATATCTATCTTGAATATCTTTAATAATAATAAATCTATATGTTAAAATGCATAATTTTCTTTCTTTGCATTTTCCTCGAACATATGTATGTCACAAATCCATCCATAACTCATATTATTATAGTTGCTGAAATTTATTCAATGTGGAATATAAGATCGTTCAAACAAAATATGTGGTGATATTTAAAAAATTATTTTGATCTTGACATTTTCGAAAAAATTGACTTTGAGAAAAAAAATGTTCTTATCATCATGATTACCCTCTTAAACAATCTCTCTCTCTCTCTCTCTCTCTCTCAGCCTCTCTCTCCCCCCCTCTCTCTCTTCAGGCATTTTTTCGTATCATCAAATATAATAGAAATAGTTCAAGTTGTCAAGTATGCAAAACAACCTATGTATGTGTGTGTGTTTTTTAAATTGTACAAAAGCTAATGCCTCTATAAAAAAAAACTTATAAAACATATTTTATTTATAAAATAAATCTAAGAACGTTAACATTAAGTATTAATATATAAATTTCTATTTTCTACAAAACAAGTGATATTATGAGGTTAGACCACGTAAAAATAAAATAAGAAAGTAAAAATAAGAAAATAAAAAAGAACTGTACAAAAGTAAATATTTTTATAAAAAAATATTTTATTTAAAAAATATAAAAATTGTAAAAACGTTAGAATAAAATATTAATATGTAAACTTTTATTTTCTACAAAAGAAATGATATCGTGTACTTAGGCCAAATAAAAAAATATAATTATATAATTGTAAATGCTATTATTAAAAATTCGCACAAAAAACACTTTGCGTGCCCCCTAACATACTGAGTTACATTACTGAATTACTCTTTACTGAGTTATATTATTTATTGAACTTGGGCACGCCAAGTGTTTTTTCTGCGAATTTTTAATAATAGCATTTACTATTATAAAATTATATTTTTTATCCTAAGTCAATTGGATACTATTTGTGCCAAACTAGGTTTAACATAAAATTTAAATTTCGACTTATGTTAATAACTCAAAGGAGTCGCTATGAGAAACACGTGACCTATAAGTTGCGAATTATAATTATAGTTGTCACTCATTTGTCCGTACGATGCGGATCAAGCATTAATTTCGAAAAGGTCTACCTTACCATTCAGTTTTACAGGGAGTCGGCTTATTATTCCAATAAAGATATATTTTCAGGCTCATTATGTTTTCCGATACATTTGTCATTGTATATGGATTATATGTATACGTCATTTTATTTGTCATACACCAAAATTACTCGCAAGAGGCCGATAATAACACTTCAACTATAATTTTCAACTCATTAACAATAAGGTCATTCCTATTTCACAACCAGAGAAAGCTTTTAAAAGAGGCTTTTCCCGAAAAACTTTAATCCTTTAGTCGCTAATTCGTCCATGTGTACGTAGGGTTGCTGCATTCATGACTCTCACGGACGCTATTGAATATTCCGTGCGACCTAGATACGATCGAAGGTACGAACAATATGTGGTGTATGTGTGTGTGTGTGTGTGTGTATGTGTGCGCGATTGCGCCTATATCAAGCCACAACGTTATAGATCAAATGTATCTTTTTTGTGACTCTCCACCGAAATTTGTCTCATTTTCTGGAAACATATGCTACTTATTCGAAAACCCGTGTGCAACTAGCCCCACGGATACACCGAACATTTCATCGTACAATCGAGACACTGTTTATTGCATCACTCGGACCGAGATCGTCATCGAAAAGTTTCGAATAATCCGGCGTGATGTCGATTTATAGTTCTATATAATTGGCGCAATATTGCGCCCTTCTATTATAATAAATATATAATAATTCAATTATTGTTACTTTTTTCAGTAACAACTTAGTAAATTGTTCTTTTCACCATCATTTCACTTCTAAGTTTTTCACTAATAATAACATTAACGGAAGCCTGTTCTTTAGATAACGAATATAATATGTAATCATTATTTTTCGTTACTTCATATAGAACAATTTACATATAGAACAGGCAGAAACAAATACTTGAAAAAAAAAATGAGTTTTCAAAACTTAGAGAAAAAAGTAATAAGAGAAAAAATAAGAGAAATTGTAATGATTTGTTATTTTTTGTAACCACAACGATAACTCGTTGTTTTTTCAGAAATAACCTTCCATCCGAGTTAAAGTTATTTTTTAGTTTCTTTTTTTTCGACTTGTTTTTCTATTTCTTATACATATTGTGTTGAACACTCGCGTGATCGATCGCGTATCTAAAAGTTTTTAACTTTTAATTCCTTTTTCTTATCAAAAAGTATATGTTAATAGCGAGCATATATTGAAAATGAACTTTCAATAAATTATAAAATCGATAAATTCACAGCAAGAGACATGTAACAATCGCCATGATTTGTAAAGTTTTTGTAGCATAAGCCATTACGCGTATATCTTTTATTTTAATTTATCAAAACAAGTGCAAAAAATGAACACTATGTATATACATATGTATATAGTTGGTTCAGAAGTCTTCTTTTATTGAAGACATATTTCGTTTATCATCATATTTATATTTGACAAGTGCTATTCATATCAACACTTGTTCAATCGCAATATTTATAAAAAAAATGCTTTTGAATCAATCTAGCATATGATAATAAGTTAATATATATTATACGAGTAGTAATGTCAATTATTTGTATTTTTTAATAGTTTCTCAGTATACAAATCGGCTCTCAGAAAGAATGGGTGAGAGAACCAAACAAAGAATTGTCCTCCATCTATGTAACGCAGGAAAGGTTCCTACTTATTCGCAGAGACTTAGATAGAAGACTGCACCCGAAAACCAACATTTCTAGACGATATCTTCTATCGGCGCGAGCCGATATAGTATAATACCACACGAAATATGCGACTTGTTGAATAAGATCAGCTAATGGCCGAAAGACTCACCGAAAACTGGAGCAAGGATGGATGACCCAGTGGCCTGCAGCTTTTTGCCTGATCCGTTCCTTCATGAGCGCCTTCTTACTGCCAAAAAGCTTCATGGCCAGCTTGTTGTCCGTCGGCTGGAATAAAGCCTGAAGCTGATTCTTCAGGAAGCTCTGTTTGACCTCCTGTCCCGGTAAACCCGGACCAGGCTCCTCCTTCGGGGTCCCATAAAGGGATACATCGTCCACCCCGAAGTGGACCTTCCCGCTGCCCTTGTAATTCATCTCGTTGCCTGCAACACAACAATATGTGTTCGCACGAAGTCAGAAACGATTGACATCGGCAATACATTCGTCAAATATATGTCTCATAACCTTTTTATTTATAATTATCATCTAGTAGCACCTGTAAAAAATATTTTGCATGCTCTCAACAGATAGACCCAAACAGTTGTGAACAATCGCGCAATCACTGATGATAGCGCCTGTTGCGGTACACAAATCGCACATCATTCGCGATCGTAACTACGCTTGTAAACTCACGATACGATAACATCGACACGCGCGGGAAGACTTGATGTCATTACCTGATATATCTTTATAGCTCGCGGAGCCTCGTTAACTCGACAAAATTATGCGCCGCACTAACTGTAAATTTCGCGCGGTGTGCTTCCTACAATAAAAACGAACAACGAGCCACTTTCATCGTTTCGTCCGAAACATCGGCAAACATATATCGTTTATAATGGCAATAACTTTAAATGAGACTTGCCGATTTATTTCTAACAGTTCGTCATATGCGTCATTTATAATAAAACAAATTAATTCTTTCTTCAGTATATCAATTAGCCGCGTTTGATAGAACCTTCTGCATCCACTTATTGTGATATGTTTGCACATTTTCGGTGAAAAATTTGACATTAATCAATCGAAATTTACAACCATGTATCCTAATCAATGGAGAATTTGTGATATATTTTATCAATTTGTATTATTAAATACAAGTGATAGCATCCAAAAAAGAAATAATTTATTTTGATACACAATAGAAAAAAAGAAAAACATAGATGTTCTTCTTTTATGTTAAAATTTTGACATCTCACGTGACTGCATTGAAGAAAAAAGAATCCTAATACTTTGTAAATCTAAATACCTAAAAAATCTTTTCTTTTAAATCTGATCAGCAAAGACATAGCTGTGTCGAATCTTCGCTTCTTGTTTTCCGGGCTCGGGTTGTGCGGAATCCGTCTACATCTCCTTTTCTGAGTTTTACGAGTTGATGTAAACGAAATATGCATTGTTGAGTTCCGAGCTGTAACACAAGCTCCTGATGAGTTTTAGCGAAGTTTTCAGTCACAGTTGCTCGGGTTCCTCGTCATCGAATTTTTGTCGTTGATCCGAACGTTGTCGATCCGAAAGATCAAAATCTCCATTCCTAAACTTCTGGTACCACTTTTTGCGCGTTTCATAACCACGTCTTTACCCAAAGTGGAACAAATTATTCCCGTAGCTTCAGCAGCATTTTTTTCAATTCAAAACGAATGTGGTGCCTCGAATACTTTTCGACCATCATCGTGTTCACTGCTGTTTCGTGAGGTTATATCGGCAGGGCCGTCAACTATCATAATGCTTTTTAAAGCTTAAAGTTGGCACTTTCAAATCACTAGGAAATAGGACAAATTTTAATTGGAATCAGAATTACAAGACGTTAAATATAAAAGGACCGAATTAATTTACAGACCTAATATTTCCGTGAATAGGAATAGAATTCTTCCTAGAATTTATAAAATGATTTTTTCCCTTTTTTGACTATTATTTCTGTACAGAGTGTAACAGCAATATACAGGTCAGTATGACGAGTTGCTTGCCTCTATTCGGACGATAATGCAGAGGTTGCCGAAAAAGTCACTCGTTGACTTTGTTGATAATAATATTTGCAGTGTTCCCAGTTATGACAAATGCAACTAACTTTGCACCGTGATCGTTTATCGACACAGTTTATTGTGCACAGTTTATCGACCGTTTACCGACAGGAGTCGAGCCTTATTAAATAAAAAAAGATGTTTAAAAAATGGGTAAATATATAGAAAAGGGGGCACCTTTCCGATTGTTATCATTTTGAAATATGTTATAAAGCGTAAAATTCTGAGTAACTTTTCCTAATATAACTATAGGGGGGTCGCTTGTAGTTTCGGAGATATAACAAGATAAAGTTAAAAATTTTGATGTTAAATTCTTAAGATGCTTGCTTAAGATTTTTTGAGATATTTAAGGGAAAACTTAATAATAATAATTTTTCAATATTTAACTTACGATATCTCGCTATTTGTCGGCAAAAAATAGTGTTAGATTTATTAAACTTTTTTACTCTATTTGGTCTCGAGAATATATTGTTATAATAATGCCCAAACGTTTGTTAACTTATCGACTTTTGGAAACTTTAAAATCATCAAATTAAAGACGTTATTGCAACAATATACTCTTGTGACCAAGTAGAATAAAAAAGCCTAGTACCACTTTTTCTTTCGAGAAACAGCGAAATATCGTAAGTTAAATATTGAAAGAGTTATTATGTTTTCCTTAAATATCTGAAAAAATATTAGGCAAATAAAAAAATGTTTCAGACAAAAGTTGTTCAAATTAATTAGTAGAAAAATATGATATAATAAAAAATAGGAGTTCCACTTAAGAAAAGTAATTATCAGTGAATATCTTGAAAGTTGCGTCACCTGTAAACAAAATGATATAGAAATATAAGTATGTGACCGTTTAACTGACTCACCCAGTCTAGAAAAGGTAATAAATTTCGAACATTTTAAATATTAAGATATATTATTTAGAGTGAAGTTTTCTGAATTATCTATATCTCAAACTGTGAAAATCATATAGTTCTTAAATATATCACTTTAAAATGCAGTTTCATCCTTTATTATGCTGATTGCTATCATTCCAAACATATTATTCGTGTCGTTTTTCGGATTTAATTTCTTACATTTTATATACACATAGACTCTGGTTTCTATGAAAATATTCTTTAAATAGTCTATTTTATTAAATTAATTAGTCTATCATGATCTAAAATAATAAATCTTAAAGAAATCAGCTCCTGCATAAGATTTAAATTTAAATGATAACAAAATGTATAAAAAGATATTTGAATGATAAATCGTTTAAACATTACGTATAATATCTTATCATATAAATCTTTGTTAGTGTTTTCAGAATGCTATTTCAATACATAATAAGCTCATCAATTTAGTAAAGCGAAAGATTCGAATATTTTCGATAAGCTGTTTGTGAGCTGAAATGTATTTGACGAGAATGAAATATATAAAAAATATAAACAAAGGAGAGAGTAACACAGGGTATGTTTGAAATTACAATAGCAAATAACTTATTCTTAAGATAACTTAATATAACATTGCAAACCTTCAAAGTGGTATAACTTAGAAGCCATCTTTATACAGGGTCTTAAAAATACCGGCACCCCCGGATAACTTTGCAGGACCAAGTTTTCATGAAAAACTTCGAATACAAAAGTTGTAGAAAATCGAGTAATGGACTTGATGGTGATCTTGAATTTGACCTTGGCCATGACCTACAAGGTCATTTGGAGGTCAACTTACGTTTTCTAAATGGGAAACCTTATTTTTTATTACATTGTTTTTTTCTACCAATTAATTTGAACAACTTTTGTCTAAAACATTTGTTTATTCGCCTAATATTTTTTGAGATATCTGAGAAAAAATTGATAACTTTTTCAATATTTAACTTACGTTATCTCGCTAACTATTTGTCGGAAGAAAAAGTAGTACTAGACTTTTTTGCCCTATTTAGTCTCAAGAATATATTGTTACAATAGCGCCCTGACTTTTGTTAACTTTACCGACTTTTGGAAATTTCAAAATCATCAAATCAAATCGTCAAAAATCAGTTTTTCTAGTATCACTTTTTCTAGTATCAGTTTTTCTAGTATCATTTTTTCTTCCGACAAATAGTTAGCGAGATATCGTAAGTTAAATATTGAAAAAGTTATCAAGTTTCCCTTAAATATCTCAAAAATATTAGGAAAATAAAAAATGTTTCAGACTAAAGTTTTTAAAATTAATTGTTATAAAAAGATGACATAATAAAAAATTTTGATTTCCAATTAAGAAAAGTAATGATCAGTGAATATCTTGAAAGTGGCGCCATCTATAAACATAATGCTATAGTTGTTTTATGTCCTCTATGAAACCATACAACTTTCGTCTAAAAAATTTCTTAGTAACTTTCATATTCTTCAAGATTTTTGCCTGGCTCATTTAAAATGGGATATCCTATATACATATGATATGAGAAAGATAAATAAAAACTATAAATATATTAGATACTACATCACAAGTGCGATCCACTTGACGTTTTATGATCTTCGTAACATTTAATACGAACAATTTGTATATTAACAAAACGCTTATTAATAATATCATCTATAATCTACTACAATCTACAAATTAGAATGTTTTGAAATGTCACATAATATAACATTCTATAAATGTATTGTTGCAACAATTTTAGATGATGAGTTGACGTAAACGTCAACAAAATGAACATAAACTACACGAAAGAAAAATAATTGAAATTATACAAGTTAATCGGTAAGAAAGACGATATTAAAGTCAAATTAAACGTAAATAAATTACTACAAGTGCAGCAAATCAGCCGTTTCATTCACAATAATTCAACGATCTTATAATGTCACCTTTTTAACGATATGATTTAACGATATTTAACGATAACTTATTTAACGATATGAGAAAAGAGAGATTTTACCTGTATCGCCCAGGAAATCAGTAATGAGCAGAGTCTCGTCGTCTAGAGCAGTGACGAGGCTATCTGTACAAGTGTTGGTGTTCTCGATGCTGATCTTGATGCTGTCATCTTTGTTGAGCCTCGGGTGATTGTTCGCGACGGGGTTGTTACCGGCGTGGCAGTTGTTGCCGGCAGTCTGCTGCTGACCGAGATGGTGATGGGGAGAACGTACAGATTCGGTGCTGCTAGTGTGCAAACTCACGCCCGTAGTTGCTCTTCCGTTCACCAGCCGTAGGCTCGGCGCTCGTCGACCGCCTCCTCCTCCTCCACCACCCCCAGGGCCGGTCACGGAACGGCCACCAACTCCACCGCCGCCGCCCTCGCCCTCCCTGAAATCGCGTAAAAATATCTTTCTTAACTCTTCGTATTACTCCAGCGCCAGTAGCCGTCCAGTGTAACACTGCAAAATCCATTACGCGAAAATGGATTATTCATTTATTTTTCGTTCTCAAATACAGTAAAATCTTCTAGATTTTCGAGATTTTTATTGGGAGAGTCCCTTCCCAAAAATAATTGTGGTTTTTATCATTTTAAATTTCATTCAATGACCTGAATTTTTCTAGTTACCGTTATTTTTTCTACAAGAAATCCTATCCTGTAGGAATAAACAAATTTGTTTTCCGTTAGAAGAAATATGTGCAGGCCTTTATTTTAATTAATAAATATAATTTTTAATATATGCGTCTTTATATTCGATAAAAAAGCCGCAATTATTTTTGCACCAACTTAATAATTGTAAACACTATATATTGAATAATAAGAAGTAATACATCCCAATGCGTGAGTTTTTAAGTGTATTAGTAATTCCGATATATGTACAAGTAATATATAAAAAAACTCTCAATTTATTCTAGAACCTCGAACTAATGACTTTTATGTGGAAACAATATACAAAAAAAAAGATATTTAAGGATTTAATTCTCGATGCAAATAATTATCGGCCAGAGAATACTAATATTTGGAAGAACCAGAAGTATTATATATTAACCGATCTGAATAACAAGTGTCTAACGCATTCCGAAAAGTGAAAAGTACTTGTAGAATGGATATAATCACAATATATGAATTTTTTGAACAGAAAGAACTTTTCGAAAGAGGAACATTATATATTTCTGGTGTTACTAATTAAATATAAACAATGCAATTTTGTTATTATTATTAAAAAGTTGCATATCTTTAAATATGTTTTTGTCAAAACTATGGGTGATATTTATAGTCGGATCTTGTATTTAATTAAATATAAACAATGCAATTTTGTTATTATTATTAAAAAGTTGCACGCACATCTTTAAATACGTTTCTGTCAAAACTATGAGTATATTCATAATCGGATCTTATATTTAATTAAATATAAGTAATGCAATTCTGTTACTATTATTTAAAAAGTTGCACGCACATCTTTAAATACGTTTCTGTCGTTTTTCACGAATAGATGGCTTTATTTGTCATTAAACACAACTAACTTCATATCATTCGACAGCTGACATTTCAACGTTTCTTTAAAAATGAAAGTGCATCATAAAGAATTGCTTGTTTGGTTTGGTACTGAGTTGAAAGTAGAAAATCAAAACGAGCATTTCCGCCATATTTTACTTCCAGAAAGGAAAGACACTGCGCGAGCCCGTCAAAAGTTATATGCTGTGTATAATGAGGAATTTTTAACAGAACACCAGTATAAGCGTTTTCGTCCAAGAGATTTTTTCTGAAAGACGCACCACGATCAAGCCGACTAATTGATGCAGATGACGACGAAAATAAAAGCATTGTATTCAATCCAATCGCCATTATACACAGTCTGTCCCAGATACGATGAGAGACTGGTTCCATCAAAGTTCTTAGCGCAGCGACATTTATGAGTGAATGATGGTAGGTGAATGTTCTACCCTTCATTTACTTAACCTCAAAATTTGAGCGAATTCGGTTGATATTTCACTGTGGTTTGACATTTTATGTAAAGTCACTTTGTGTACGTCGGTCGAAAACCAACATGGAGCGAATATTAAATTCTGTTTTAAATTGGGTGAAAGTGGTGCAGAAACGTACGAAACGCTAAAAAATGTGTACTGGGATGAATGCATGTCCCGTGCACAGGTTTTCCGTTGGTTTGGCCGATTCCGTGACGGTCGTGAGGACCTTGCGGACGATGACCGAGCACCGCCGCCAAAAACCACTCGCAATGAAGAAAACATCGAGAAAGTCAAAGAAATTCTTCGAAGCGACCGCTGTGTGTCTGCGAGACTCATCGAAGAGGAAACTGGGATACCGAAAAGCACAGTCTATCGAATTTTGACCGAAGATTTGGGCAAACGGAAGGTTACACGATAAGGCACCATCGCACAAAGCCATCATGGTACGTGAATTCTTGACCAAAAAAGGCATCATTGTTATTGATCATCCACCGTATTCACCTGATTTGGCTCCGTGCGACTTCTGGCTATTCCCCAAACTGAAATTGGCGATGAAAGGAAATCGTTTCGATACCATCCCGGTCATCCAAAAGACTTCGACCGCTATACTAAAGGCCATTCCAGCCGATGAGTATAAAACATGTTTCGAAAAATTTGTTGAACGTTTCCAGCGCTGTATTGACTCAGAAGGAGACTATTTTGAATAAACAAGAATAAAAGATCAAAATAATAAACGCTTTGTATTTTTTTTAGACCAGTCTCATTGGATCTGGGACAGACTGTGTACGATATGGAAGATCGCTGAGAAGCTAAACCTGTCATATGCGAACATTGAAAACCATTTAAACCAACGTGGATACATTAATAAACTCGATATTTGGATTCCACACGACTCAAGAGAATTCATCTCACCAAACGTATAATATCAGCGATTCTCTTCTGAAACATGCGCAAAATGATCCGTTTTTTAAACGAATGTTAATTGGCTTGGATGAAAAATGAATTGTTTACGACAACGTGGAACGAAAAAGATCGTGGAGGAAATGTGATGAGCCGCCACAAAGCACTCCTAAAGCAGACATTGACGAAGGAAGATTTTGCTATTTGGTGGGATTACAAGAGTATTGCGTTATTTGAACTGCTTAAATGTAATCAAACGATTGATTCGGAATTGTCCTGTCGTCAATCGGACAAATTACATGAAACAATTAAGCAGAAGTGCCCAGAATTGGTCTTTCACAATAACAACGCTATACCACGCATATTGTTAGTCACCCGCCAAAAATTGTTGCAGCTTGCGTGGTATTTGTTATCACACTCATCATATTGATCTTGCATCTGATCTTGCATCATCAGATTACTATTTATTTCGTTCCTTGCAAAAATTCCTTGAAAGGAAAAAAATTCGATCCTGATAAGGCTATCAAACAATATTTGGAACTTTTTGGAGTTTTTCGTCGATAAAGACCAGAAGTTCTAGCAGGCCGGAATTATGAAACTACCAGATGACAAAAGGTCATTGAATTAAACGGACAATATATTAAAAAATAAAGTTTTTGCTTTGTATGAAAAAATCGCTTTTCATTTACCAAGAAAAAAAAGACATGACTTTCTTGCCAACCTAATAATTAAACGATTGATTTCAAATTAAACATATAAGTTCTATTATGCTCGTACATATACCACTTTAGAGTCTATATTAGAATTGTATTAATCATATATATCATACTTTTATTTAGCTAACAAACCAAAGTTCAAAGATTTTGAATGTAAAAGATCGATATTTTTTTGGATCTATATAATTTAGTCCGAAAATATTGTTATATGTTGTTGTATAAGCAATATTTTGTAAAAATATTGTATAAACTATATTGTATGAACCACGTATGTTGTACAGAATGTTCCAGAATAATTACGGTTATTGCCGGATATCTCGTATACGTCTCAGACTTACAAAAGTTTTTAGTTGTTAATGACGACAACTCAATGTGCGCAGTGAAAACAAGACAAAGTCAATTCAGCTCGTTGGCAGTTCTAGCCAGTCACATTAGCATATTTTATTACGTCGTTAATTATAAACCGTACACATGCTGCTACCGCAATTCTTTTCTAGCACACCGGTTTTGTCAAAACGCGTACTCGTTTCGTTCCCTCAAGCAATAACCGAAAATAATACAATTTCCGCCACGCGCCGTTCCGTCCTCTCGTGCATCAATTGTGGGGCCCGTCTGTCAGACCTGTACGACAGAAGGAAAACAAATTGTCGGAGATTCTATCGCGTTGATCACAACGCTGCGAAGATCAGTCAGATACTAATTCTCGGAGTCACGCATCTGCGATGATTGCACCAAACATGTGACAAGCAGAATTAAAGGAAAAAGAATCAACGAGACCAAAAAAGTGTCAAAAGAGCGCATAAAAATAGCAGACGACGTTCGTCATGGTGTCCAGTTCACCGTGTTACGAACATTGCGAATTGCCTTCGCGTTATTTGCATCATCATAAATGTTTTTCAAAAAAAAAAAAAAAAAAAAAAAAGAATCCTTGTGCAAGGAATAGTAGAATCTTTTATCAAGATAAATCCACGGAGGAACGCAATTTGCAATGAGCAATACTGTTATATGCACCATATGCTACTAATATACATATACAGGGTGTTCATTTGAAAACTTTCCAGCTAATTATCTCGAGAACTATGAAAGATATTTGAAAAAAAGCTAAAACACGTGTTCCATGATTTCGAAGGAGAAAGAGAATGGCATTATCAGTTTTTTATTTAGAGGGCATTTTCAAGGTCAGTTGAAGGTCAACTTAATTTTTTAAAATAGAAAGCCCAATTTTTTATTATATCTTCTTTTTCTACCAATTAATTTTAACAACTTTTGTCTGAAACATGTTTTTATTTACCTAATATTTTCTGAGATATTTGAGGAAAACTTGATAACTTTTTCAATATTTAACTCACGATGTCTCGCTAATTATTTGTCAGAAGAAAAAGTGGTACTAGGCTTTCTTGCTCTGTTCTCTAGTCTCAAGAATATATTACTATAATAGTGCCCTAACTTTTGTTAACTTATCGACCTTTGGAAATTTCAAAATTATTAAATTAACAAAAGTTAGGGCATTATTATAGTAATATATTCTTGATAGTAAATAAAGTAAAAATGTCTAATACTATTTTTTCTTTCGACGAATAGTTAGCGAGATATCGTAAGTTAAATATTGAAAAACTTACCAAGTTTTCCTTAAATATTTCAAAAAATATTAGGCAAATAAAAAAATATTCCAGACAAAAGTTGTTAAGATTAATTGGTAGAAAAAGAAGATATAATAAAAATTTCTTTTCATAGTTTTCGAGATAATTAGTTGGGAAGTTTTCCAATGAACACCCTGTATGTGTATCTGCCTGTACAAGTATAAGC